TGGGAACGAGAATATCTCCAAAGGAGCTCTAAGGTCTCGATGAAGAGGGCATGGGAGAGATCTGAATGAGTGTTGGGACTTTTTTTTTTTTTCCTCGTTTAGGCTAAAGTTAAGTGTTGGGGGGGGGAGGGGTTATGAATACCATCTGCACTTTCTACTTTCACTAGAATTTTCCTTTTCTACTGAAGATTAACTATTTCCTTGACCCTTCTTAAAACCCCATTGCCTTCGAGTGGATTTCGACTCATAGCAACCCTATAGAAGAGTAGAACTGCCCTATAGGGTTTCCAAGGAGCGGCTGGTGGATTCCCACTGCCGACCTTTTGGTTAGCAGCTGATCTCTTAACCACTGCGCTACCAGGGCTCCTGACCCTCTTTAGAGATATGTCATTATCTTTCCAGAACAGCAACTTGTTACTGGTTCTGCCTTTTCTTTAAAAGCAAACACCTTTCTAAAGGGGAAGGTCATAATGGATTCTCTAAGCTATTCAAGATTATACATATATATTTAAGCATTCCCTCTTTTTCCATTATAAGGGCTCACCCACTGGTAGGAGCACATGATGGGAGGGAAGCAGACAAAACTCAAAGCTTTAAGACTTTTTGCAACAAGGACACATCATTCAAAACTCAGTGACATGAAATAGACAATGCTCTTTTCAAAGAAAGGCCAGAAGCTCAAAAACATGGAAGAGGGACATCCCAGACCCTTCGGTGAATATTTTCAACTTTCTACTTATTAGACAGTCACGTTGGTATGTAGCATTCTTGAAAGCCTCCACCCCTACCAACAAGTGTAGGAGGTGTGGCTTGATTTCTGGGAAAAATTGCTGGAAGATGTTATGATTGATAAAATGTTAAGTTTTGATAAGACCAACCTGGAACAATAAGAGAACTATTGTGAAAGTCCCCACAAATTTTAAATATATTATCAAAGCAAGAACTGTTCTTCCAGTCAGATAATTTAAAGTTCTTTGAATCACTGAAAAAACCCTGAAACCCATTTTCTTATTCTATAAAGAAACATTTCTATAGCAAAATCTCTAAATATGTAATCACTTGTTCAGGAAAGCTGCACCACCTCACAGTTCTCCTTAAATGCCGTGAGTAATGTGAAATCTGATTTTGCCTTATTTCAAGGAAAGGGTTTTTGCCTTGTCTGTTTTTCTTTAAATTTTTGTGTTTTGGAGTTTTTAATCTGGCAACTCATTCTGTGTATTCTCTTTTCCTCTTCCACTTTTCCAGAAGTGCTATCAAGAAATGACCCATTCTCTGGGAAAAGCTTTAATCTGACTGAAGGCCAGTAGTGTGCTTAAGAACAGCTAATAGTATCCATATGCTAATAGCCTGCTGATCAGTAAACACTCCTGCAGATAAGCTCTGTAATAAAGACGCTTTGAAATAAAGAATATAGGACTGAAAGAAAAAGCAAAATACAGTAAATCAAATATACTCCTACTCCTCATATCCTTCAATTTCATGCTGACTCTCAGTTTAATCTGCTGAAATCCCAAACTCAGAATTCTGGAGACTTGTTAATTCTGTTAATGATTTGTCAGGATTGACTAATTGTGCTGTGTAGAGTCAGTCTCTTTCTTAGTCTAAGGGAAACCGTAAGGCTTATCAAATACACACTCCAAGGATTGAATGGTTAATTTACATTCATTGGAGACAAATGTGAAAGAGGACCCAGGCTCCTTGGAACATTCTATTTGATATTTATGCGGAAAGAACTAGAATATATCAGTGTAGCAAATGCAAATGGGTGGAAATTTCTCTCTGTGTAGTCAGGCTCCTTTCAAGGGTGTGTGTGTGTGTGTGTGTGTGTGTGTGTGTGTGAGATAAGCCCTTGAAATAGAAAGGTTTCTTTATGGCACATACTGACAAACAATTTAAAATGTTATCATCAGGGATTGGTTTAAGAGGGATCTTAGGAGAGCTTGCTTGATTAAGAAAAAGAAAAGAAATACAATATTTCTGTAAATAAATATTTTGATTAAAAAATCTCTACTCACTTGTTCCAGAAAGCTGTACCATTTCACAGTTCTACTTAAATGTCTTAAATAATGTGAACATCTGGTTTTACCTTCTTTCAAAGAAAAAGTTTTCCCCTTGTCTGCTTATCTTTTAATTTTTGTGCTTTTGAATTTTTTATTGGGGTACCCCGGATCGTTGTACTCAATGTGTATCTCTTACTTTTCCAGAAGTGCTATGATGCATTCCCTTGGTTAAGGTGGCATGTCAGAGAAAGGAATCTTGTACAGGCAGTTATCTTCAGTACGGGAAAAGATCAAAATTGTTCTTTGCATTTTGTGGACCTGGATTATTTGGTAAAATTGTGCTTTCCATTAGCTTCATATTTGTTTTGCCGAATTATTGAGTACCTTGAGCGTGCTAGGGATGAAACAGTGGATGAAGAAGATCCAGTTTGTGTCCCCCAAAAGATTGCTGTGGTGGGGTGGATGAAGGAAAACAATTGCAATGTGACACATGGCAAGTGCAACATCCGAGGCGAGCGCAGGTTTTGGAGGTAGTTGGGAGGCTTCAGAACAGAGAAGGCAGAGAAGCATGAGAAAATTGATTTGGTGCTGAAATTGGGAGTAGTTCAGTAAGACAGATGCTTAAGATATATATTAGGATACCATGACATATGAGGTCGGAGAGGTACACAGGGATGAATTTAAGAAAAGCCTTGAAGGTCATCCTAAGGAGTTGGGATTTTCTTCTCTAGGCCAGTGTTCTCTCTCACAGACACTCCAGTGGGAGAGCAGTTTAATGAAAGCATGGTTGCGCAGTGTTAACAGATCATGCAAAACAGACCCTACTCAAGAATGTAGAGGAAAGGAATTTAATGCAGGGAATTGGCTACACAAGTGATGGAAGACAAACGGGATGGTGAGACCACCCAGGGATTAGCAAGAGCAGGGAATCATTCCTTCCTCCACGTTGGAGGGACAATGGAAGGATGGGATAGGAGCAGGGCCATCACCTGGAAACAGGAATCACAATGGGCCAGTCTCGTCGGAACCAGAGCCTTGGAGCTACTGAGGCATCATCCAGAGCTGACAGGGAGGTAGAGGATTATTTTGGTGTCTTTCTTCTTCTGCCCTGTAATTACCTGCCATTGTCTCTCATTGAGGAGCCCTGGTCACTCAATGGTTAAGCTGCTATCTGAAAGGTCGGCAATTCGGACCCACCAGCTGCTCTGCAGGAGAAACAGGAGGCAGTCTACTTCTGTAAAGACTACAGCTTTGGAAACCATGTGGGACAGTTCTGCTCTGTCCTATAGGGTGTCTATGAGTTGAAATCAAGGACAGTGGGGTTTTGGGTCTCCCATTGACAAAACCCAGCTAGAATCCGGTGATCCAGGAGCCTGGACATGTAGTCTACCAAGGGTCAGCCCTCCTGTAGTATAGAGCAGAGCAGAGGAATGGCATAGAGTAGAGATGAGGGCACACAGGCCCAGGCATTGTCTGTGAGCCGAATAAATATGACTCAGCTACCACTATAGGTGGAGCACTGGTGGCCCATTGATTAAGCACTCAGCTGCTAACTGAAAGATCGGCAGTTTGAACCCACCAGAGGCTATGAGGGAGAAAAGACCTTGTGATCTACTCCTGTGAAGATTACAGCCTAGGAAACTCTATGGGGCTGTTCTGTCAACTTGACGGCACATGACAACACTGTAGGTAGATGCTGTTATGATTAATAAAATACAAATTCATTTAAAAGAGTTTCTGAATCAATAACAGCAGGTTTTTTATCATTATGCATATATTCAAAAGGTACTACCACAGTGATGTTAGGCTCTGAATGTTTTTTATAACCTTAAAAAAAAAACCCCAAAACCAGACCCGTTGCCATCAGGTCAATTCTGACTCATAGCAACCCTATAAGACAGAGTAAAACTGCCCTACAGGGTTATCAAGGAGCAGCTGGTGGGTTTGAACTGCCGACATTTTGGTTAGCAGCCAAGCTCTTAACCACTGTGCCACCAGGGCTCCAATCTTAAAAAGGGGACCTTATATTAGAAGTCAATATATTAAATTGTTTAAAGCAATCTAGAGACATTGAGAAGAATGATGTGAACATATTTGAATTTTTGTAGTCTATGTACAGTAAGATACAATAGCCTTTGAGTATAGGCACTGTCTTGCTGGGATTTTTTGCCCAGCACAAATCCTAGTTCCTGATATTTGTTTTTAAATATTTGCTGAATGCATGTTTGAATAAGTGTAAGCACCTTGAAGGTAGGGATTTTTATTTATTCACTGCTATATCCATAGCATTTAGAGCTGTGCTTGGCATTTAGTAGATGCCCAATTATATTTAAGTGAATGAATGAATGAAAGAAAAGAGGAAGGGATGTAAATTAGAAGTCTATCATAGTAATTCCAATAAGAAATTGAGGACAAAATTGTTGTGGTGGATATGATGAGGAGAGGAAGAGATGTTTAAGAGGACCAATCTGAATGTCTTCTCAAATGCAGGCGCTAGAAATCTAGACTTGTTAACTGTTTTTAACTTTGGGTGGCTTAATAAATGAGAATAGCATTGACTGAGGTAGGGACCACAAGGAAAAAAGGAAGAGGAGAGTTAAAACGTTTATATTTAGGGCTTAGAGGGAAATGTTCAGATTTGTAGATATTTTTCATGCACTGCCTGTCTAAGACGCTGTTGCATATATGTAGGAAGTTTATTTCAGATCATTCAAAAAGCCACTAGCCTGAGTATTTTTCAGAGTAAGGTAAACCTGAACAAAAAAGTTATTGTTAACATTAACCCCTACAATAGAAAAAAAAAAATGGCTATGAAACAGAGTCTTCTCAGTTTATCTTAAATATTATATACTCCTCAAAGTCCAGGCACCAGGCAAAGGTTTTAATATTTGTCACTTTCCTGTGCAATTTGTTGCAAGGTTTATAAATTGAAAAGCCTATATATTGAAGGAAATGCTCCTTTCTTTAGCTACCTTAAAATAGTTTAATGAACTTATAGCAGTAATAAAATCAATTGATGAACTTTATAATATCCATCCCTCTTAAAATAATTTTAAACAATTTGGTGGCATTCACTTTGGCATTCTGTCTGTACTATAGATATTTCATCTTTCCTGTCGTAGTATATATTTCATGGATTTGATTTACTTGATCCATATTTGTAAATAGATTTACTGAAGGGCCTGCTTTATTAAAATGTTCTACTATGTGCAATTTTAGGGATAAGAGGACAAGTATTTTGAGCCTCAACCAAAATTAAACTAGCTTGTTTGTGATGCTTCTTTGCCTCACTCTTGTGTCATCTTTATTCCATCTTTGTTCATTATTCTGTTGTAGGTCCCGTGCTAGTTGCAGTCCCAGTGGAACTGTGCTGACTATGGGCCCAGTAGGTGGAGAGGCTGATGAGAACCAGACAGTGGAGGAAGTGAAGGTGGAGCAATATGGGCCAGGGCAAACCACTCCTAGAGATGAGCTGGCCCCAGACCCTGAGCCAGAGCTTATTGACAGCACCAAGCTGATTGAGGTACAGATTGTCCTCATATTGGCCTATTGCTCTATCATCTTGCTTGGGGTGGTTGGCAACTCCTTGGTGATCCATGTAGTGATCAAATTCAAGAACATGCGCACAGTCACCAACTTTTTCATTGCCAATCTGGCTGTAGCTGACCTTCTCGTGAACACCCTGTGCCTGCCCTTCACTCTCACATACACCTTAATGGGGGAGTGGAAAATGGGTCCTGTCCTCTGCCACCTGGTGCCCTATGCCCAGGGCCTGGCAGTACAGGTATCCACAATCACCTTGACAGTGATCGCCCTGGATCGGCATCGATGCATTGTCTACCATCTGGAGAGCAAGATCTCCAAGCACATCAGTTTCCTGATCATTGGCTTGGCCTGGGGCATCAGTGCCCTACTGGCAAGTCCCCTGGCCATCTTCCGGGAGTATTCACTGATTGAGATTATTCCAGACTTTGAGATTGTGGCCTGTACTGAAACGTGGCCTGGTGAGGAGAAGAGCATTTATGGCACTGTCTACAGCCTTTCTTCCTTTTTAATCTTGTATGTGTTGCCTCTGGGCATCATATCTTTTTCCTACATTCGCATCTGGAGTAAACTTAAGAACCACGTCAGTCCTGGAGCTGCAAATGCCCACTATCATCAGCGAAGACAGAAAACCACCAAAATGCTGGTGTGTGTGGTGGTGGTGTTTGCAGTCAGCTGGTTGCCCCTCCATGCCTTCCAACTTGCTGTTGACATTGACAACCAGGTTTTGGACCTGAAGGAATACAAACTCATCTTCACAGTGTTCCACATCATCGCCATGTGCTCCACCTTTGCCAACCCCCTGCTCTATGGCTGGATGAACAGCAACTACAGAAACGCTTTCCTCTCAGCCTTCCACTGTGAGCAGAGGTTGGACTCCATTCACTCTGAGGTGTCTGTGACATTCAAGGCTAAAAAGAACCTGGAAGTCAAAAATAATAATGGCACCAATGACTCTTTCACAGAGGCTACCAACGTCTAAGGAAGCAGGTGTGTGAAAATATATGAATGAATTCCGACCAGAGCTAGAATTCTGACTGATGAAGGCTGCCAGGGGATGAAGGCCTCCTGATTTCCCATTTTAAGGAAGAAAACGAGCATCTGTGGTGTAATTGCTGGAAAACTGGTTGATGGAGCCTAGGTAAAAATAATCCTATTCAAAGATAGGGCAACAAAATAACTTTGCTTACAGTTGCTTGGATGGTAAATTGGATTATGAGTAAAAGCAGAGAGAAACACTTTTGAGTATTTTTCAGAGTGAAGTAAACCTGAACAAAGAAGTTGGCAATGTCAGCATTGAAAAAGGTGGTGGGGTAAATAAATTGACTTATTGACTTTCAAATCACATTAGGACCTGGATTGGGGGATGCTGTGTTTCCCCTTGTTCTGATGAAAGGACTTCCAAACACAAATTTCTTTATGGAGTCACATGCTCTTCTTTATTGTATTATGGTTTTATTTTTCTTCCGATAGGCAAAGTCCATCAGGGAATGCTGCAGGTAAATGTTGCCAACTCTTTGAATGGCTTCAAGGGAAGAAACTGAAACTTGCTATATAATTAATATTTGGCAAATTATGAGGGAAATGCTTAACACTTGAAACAATTGTTCTTAAAGCCAAATGCATGTTTGGTGAGAACTTTCTTAAACTCAGAATCAAAGGCTGAATTTTTTCAGAATTATAGAAATATAAGCCATCATCTAATTTCTAATTTCAAGTTGTTCTGCTTTACATAGATGCTGTTTAGATAATGAAGAAGTATATAGCATAAGAATTTTAATTGCTGCTAATCGTTATAACCCTTTGAACATGTATAATGTCTATTATTATTTCTGTGTTGGAGCTGAGTTTGTCATCACTAAAAATTAGATTAGAAAATAATTTTTATAGCATTTTTATAACATTTCATGGTTATATGTGAGCCATTTTTAACATAGGTACTTAGCTCTAATGTGTTTATAGAACATTGCAGTGTTATTTTGTTTTATATTGATCTTCCATAGGCCCATTCATGATAAATAAAACAGCATAATTTATCAAAATGGAACCCATCTGGTTAAGAAATATTGGAAATAATTGAATTCATTCCACCTTGCAAATGTTCTGTTTGGACCCATTTTAACAGAAGTTATTTATCCTCTTCTCAAAATGATTAGCTGTAATTTTGGATAATTTACATATATATACATAAAAAAGATTGTACGTATAAATAGTGGACTATAGATACTATAATATTTTTTCATTTAATGATTTTATGAATATAATTTTTATTTCAATAATACCCAACCAAAGATGCTTAAAAGCTTATTACACTCCTGAAAAATAATTGGGATGTTAAAATAGTTGTACTTCTTTTAATGCTGTTAAAGAAGTTTCATTGTAATCATATTTTTGTAAGAATGACTAAATTTGTGAATAGATTCCTTAAATTTTAAATAAATTCAGCATGATTATTACATTTAGTCACAACCATTAATTTTATGAACTGGAGAGTTTTATTTTATGAATATATTATATTTAGAATTTATATTATGACTTTAATTTAAATTCCTTCCATGCTAGAGATAAAAGACTGTTTTCTGAAGTGGATGGCAGTTTGGGAATACTGAAAAAGAATGGAAACAATGGAAGTTATATTATGTGGAACACAGATTAATAAATATAAAAAAATTAATGTAGATGTACTATGTCATATAACTGAAGAATTAATTTTTCTATTGGACTCAACATAACTGTCCAAGAAGAAGCTTTTTCTTTGTTAAATAGCAGTATGTTTGCTTAAGATGCTAGTGGATGATTATGGTTCAAGTTTTTTGTTTGTTTTTTTTCTTGGAGAATTTCTAAGCTGTAGGAAGCATGTATGCTACTATATCAACTGTTGTGGTAATAAATTATTAGAAACCAATGAATGATCCAACTGATATGATTGGATTCTTTCTGTCAGTTCATTAATAAAATATCTTTCATGTATTGATTTCATCTGTTGAAATAAACAATTTGGGAAATTAGAGAAATTGTGTGATATTAAATCAGTGTTTCTTGTCCAAGAAGTAGAGATGAGACAAGGAGACAGGAAGACTATGAGACAACTTGAAATAGGAAAACAAAGATGGCTTCTTGACAGCGAGGTGAGCTTCCTTCTCTTTCCATGCTGTACACAAGCCTGAGTCAACTGATCCACTCCCACGGCTGCAATTATAATACATATTCCGATGACACTTGAATATTTTAAGACCAGATCCTTCTTTTGAATTTCAAGCCTGCACCTCCATCAGCCAGCTTGACATGTCCACATAGATGTCTCACCAGCAGATCCAATCGAACATGTCTAAAACAGAACTTGCCATTTTGATCCCACCCCAGCTCCATTTTGTCCTCCTGTGTTCCTTGTCCCAGTCATGACACTGCATTCATCCAGTTCCCAAAAGCCTTAAACCTTGGGGTTATCCTTGACTTTTCTGTCTCCTTATCTCACATCTCAAATTAATTCCTACATTTTGTTTGGGTCTAGTTTCTAGATGTTTCTTGAAGTGATTCGCTTTTCTCCATCCTTATGGTCCCTATCATTGTTCACCTGTGATTATCTTCCCAGGCCTTAGTTATCTCTCTTCTCTATATTTCTGTAGCACCTTCCTAACTGGTCCCTCTACATCTGGCCTTTTTTCCATCTAATACAACTTTTACCCTCTAGCTAGAATGATTTTTCAAAAACTTTATCATATGACTCTTCTGTTTAAAACTCTACAGTGTCTTCTTATCATTCTTATTATGAAGTCAAAATCTTTTCACAATTTGAAGACTGTTTAGTGCATGGTTGTGCCAACGTGTTTTATCCCTTGAAAATTCTCTCTCCAATCTTTGCTGCTAGATTTTAAGCACCATGGGGCAGAGGGCAGAACTGTCTTAATCATTGTTATTTCACAGATACTTGTAGTTTCTGTTACCAAATTAGTATTTAAAAACTACCCATCAAGGAAAATTAAGTTGGAAAGTGAAGTAAATATTAGAGCTAGGATCTGAAGATAGTTCTGAAGCTTGTAAACCATAATCTTTTCTGGTAACTTTACAAGTTTTATGAAGGTAAGACTTTAGCTGAACGGGAGTCCAATAAAGATGAATATTTGGTAAAGATAAAATTTTTTTTAAATGAACACTTGCACAGTTGGAAAGAGTGTTATACATAGTATACATAGATTGCATTTACGGCTCATTGAAAATCATCCAGGACCTTACCACTCCAGGGAAGCATAGAGGAGCCAATGAAGTGTATCAGCTGGGGAAAGAGACGCCGTTATAGATATTTCAAGCAGAAAAGTGAATTAATACAAAAAAAAAAAAATTGCTGTTGAGTCAGTTCCAAGTCATGGTGACCCCATGTGTTACAGAATAGAACTGCTCCATAGAATTTTCTTGGCTGTAAAATTTATGGAAGTAGTTAACCAGGCCTTTCTTCCATGGTGAGGCTGAGTGGGTTCAAATTGCCAAACTTTAGTAGCTGAGTGCAAACTGTTAGTGCCACCCGGGGCCCTGGGTGATTTAATGTGGAGGATTAGTATCTTACAAAGCCACTGGAGGGGCCGGAGATGGGAAGGTTAGAGAGAGCCTCCACTAGCATGGAGGAAACAAGGAAGTGCAAAATTGCAGGAAACCACCACTAATGCCTGTAGAACCAAAGTGAGTGATGAATAGGAAAAAGCCAAGAATCATTTGTTTAAACCCTTACTGTTGCCTCCAGCTGAAGCCCACACCCCTGCTCACCTCTGCCATAGATACAATAATAGCTTCTGCTTGTCTTCTGCTTTCCAAAATCATGTGTCTGTCATTTGTGGGATATAACTAACTCTGAGGGATTCCTTCTGCCTTTTCACTCCAGAAGAAATACTTTACTGAAAATAAAACATCCTACTTACCACAAAGACAACCTCGTTTAAATCATTACCACAATAATTTTTGTCTAAGGTATAAAAAGTCTCACAGATGGACAGTTGTGGCATCCTTAATAGTTTATGACCTCAAAAGCTCCAAATAAACAAACCTGGTTTATCTCCAAGATAAGGATTTTATATTTATTGCCTGGTGTTTAGCTTAGAAGTGTAAAATTAGATAAATGCATTGCATATATACATGAATCTTCATGGGAATTATCTATCATTGTCATATTACAACATGAAACAGATGACTAAAGTCATGAGTAGTAGACTAACTCTTGCTTAAAGAAAAGGTTCCCAAAAGCTTTTATTATTTTTTTGGTATAATTAGTAAATATGAATGGAATTTTGGAAGTGTCAGCATTGTGGTGTGCTATTTTTCGGCAAAGCATGGTTGAGTATGTACTTTGAAAGTTTTGCTACTAGTGCTAATCATTGGTATTATTCACCATCTCTTACTTAATACACTTTTGGACCACTGGCACATTCCTAAAGAGAGTTGCATGAATGTGCAGCAGTTATGTCTTCCTCACAGAAAACTCACAGCTTTAAACAAATTAACATCTTCTTAAAATTGGTTTTCCCCAAGGCCTAAGTCCTTCTCCTCAGTTTCTTTCTCCTGTCTTCCTCCTTTCCAATTCCTTTTTCCACTGCACAGGTTGGGTAGAAGTACTGTCTTAGTTTCCTAGAGCAACAGTAACAGAACACCACAATGTCACTGGCTTTAAAGAACAGACATTTATTGTCTCACAGTTCTGGAGGCTAGGAGTCTGAATTCAGGGCATTGGCAGGGCCATGCTGTCTCTGTCCACTCTGGGAGAACATCCTCCCTTGTCTTTTCTAGCTTCTTGCAGCCCCAGGCATCTTTTGGCGTTCCTTAGCTTGTAGATGTGTCTTCCCATGACCTGTTCCCCCTGTGTGACCCTGTCTCTGTGTCAGCTCTCCCCTTTTTTAAGACACCACTCATAAGGGATTAGAACCCACCCTCCTCCAGTATGACTTTATTAACTGATAACATCTGCTAAGAAAGAACCTATTTCCAAACAAGGTCACATTCACAGGTACAGGTATTAAGACTTGAG